GAATGCACTTCTGAACATCGATTTTCTATCATGTAAATCAGACTTCCGTTAAATAGGTGGAATGAACTTGCTTAAGACAAATATCTGTACTAGGATATACTATTCAAGATGAATATCATGCTAAAAATACTCCCGATGACATTTCAGTCAAGTTTGCTGCGTGCTCAAAAGTTGTATGTATCGTGGTTGTCTTCTTTAACAGTACTTAAGTTTTGATTAACGAAGTGGAAAATATAGCCATCTCCACCTTCTCATACTATCGAAAAGCGTAGTCTCAAAAAATTCGAATAACCCAATATGAATTATTTTTCGAGAACGTGAAGTGAAGCATTTCACTGTTGAAAACATACAAAATCGATGCAAATACATACATCAACAGAACGAAGATAAGTGGGTAAGGGAAATTACGTAGCAAGACCTCCAGGAACCCATATGAGATGTGGTGTACTAACAGATGCTAACCAAACATATGATTTTCAAACAGCATAGTTACATCATAAACTATATTATCCTTTGATCCAGTCTTGGTCACAAGGCAATGTTTAATTTAAAATTCGCTTGAACGACATTTGTTACACATATCTAAACAGCCGAATTTGATATTTAAAGGGACCACTGATTCAAAGAGAATCTAAGTTATGCAAAAGCGGTCGATTAATTTTAATATGAATTAGAAGGCGTTTTCAGTGAATATAGATCTTTCATGGGAACGACGACCTAAGAGGTTTGGCGAAAATTTACTAGCATGAAAAGAATAAATTTTTCAAACGTCGAAAAAGATTGATTTTATGATAGCACCACAAACCCAACATTCTGTGGTGAAATAAGTATCACCATGTAATCAAGGGTAACCTATATTGATATAAGCCGCTAGTCTGAAGTTGATTTTGTCTATCACAACATTCATACAACTACACAGATGCATGAATTTCTAAATTATATTCAAAATGCCAACTGTCCAAGCTAATCGCATACCTGCTCAGCAATATGAAAATAATTCGGAATTCAGAGGTGCGCGGTGAATGTTATTCTAAAATACACTAATCTTTAACCGACAACACACAACTTAGGTAACTTCCATGTAATCATATATTGAGAGATTATTTATCCAAGATGGAAATATTTTTTTAAGGTAACATACATGCAACCACTAGATGTTTTACTGAGAAATGTTTCCAGAACATCGTAGAAGGCAAAAGTGACTGACGGTCTCCACTGATGAAGATACGCGGTTAGGTACCTTCATCATATCTTACTAAACGTCTCAAGAATAGACAGTTAAAAATGTAGCGATTAATGATAGCAACATCACAAAAAGCATCTAGAGATGATCAACGGATCAGTGAAATAAAGAGAGATCCGATACGCCTTTTGCCAATATTTTAAACGCCGCTGGAAAAATATTTATTTTTCGATAATTGCCACAAACTTTATGTGATTTAATTCGAAAATGGGTCTGATTGTGTCTTTATAACACACGGTTTTTCATACAATAGTAAAAAGACAGACAACGTAATGCAACTTAAGCCTTGCACCAGAAACACCACTAACCCCGGTAGAATAGCCGCGTGGACCTTACAATAAAATAAGCTGAGTACATTATAATCTCACAAAATACATTACTCATCTAGTATCCAAGGCAACTTGCAGAACCTATATTCAACCAAAATCAAACTCCAACGCCATCCACCACGAATATGAGAATTTCGAGCGAACAATTTAACTAGCTGTGAGCTGTGATTCGCGATTAAAGACAACAATTATTAGGGAAAACTTATGTGGAAACACCAATGGGATTAAATAATCATATCAGGGTAGCTCAATTTGTAATATTTTCCTTTTAGATATGATCTTATAACTCAAAAGAATCCAGAGTGCTAACGTACACTGATATTTTGGCTTAAAGACTTTCAGATAAATAACAAAGCACACAAGGCGACCTTGAGAACACAATCTACAACCTTCATTTCAAAATTCGGTCAACTTTCAATATCTTTGTGATAACCAGGAGTAAACATATTGAATTCTTTAGTTTTTTGTCGTAGTGTTACGATACGGTTACAATTTCTTGAGTTCAAGAGAAGTTAATCAGCCATTTGATTGCGAAAATTTACCTTATCGTTGCACATAACTCATATTTACCTGTAAAGTTGTTTACATGAGCACATACAATGGATCTTCGTGAAGACAAACGTTTCAAAGTATATCACGGTCTTTGGTCTACTCAAACGTCACATAAGATCAGACAGAATAATGGCTGAAGGACTGAATCCAAACACAGAATTATTTGCACAACCCCTCGTGTTCTCTAGATAAATCTAAGAAAACCAAGACGTCCCGAAAGACTTGGGGATGAATACTTCATTAAAGAGTCAAGAAAAAAGGGGTTTAAGCAGGTGTCACAACTGCAGTAGGATCAGTCTAAAAGTGACAATCCGAGTTACAGATGCCACTAGTACTCGGAATTTGACAACACCTTAACCAGTAACACCTATAATCGAAATATACCGACCCAGTCAAATCAGAAGTCAAATAAAAAGAGGTTCGAATATATATTTGTTGAAACATCGATATATAGAGAAATGACTAATCTGAGCTTGCTAGCGGTTGTAGGAGTTATAGGCGTACCCTATCGTGATCTGGTGCGGATGTGTGACCGAGCGCATTCAGCTAGGTGAGTCCATTAAAACTAATGCGATCAGCATCAAATGTCAAAGACGTACAGAGCTACTGATCTCGGGGATTTATTTGCCACTACAAATTACATCGTTCATTCACCTGAAAAACAACTAGATCTCAAAAAATCTGTCGACCAACACCAACGTCAGAATATTCAATACAAACACTACAATTGATTTTTTGATAAGGAACTGAAACTCGGATAAATACCACGACCATAGTAAAGTACGTGAATCTAAAAACAACTATTCACTCAAGATATCATGGATCCATTCTCTAGATACCATCAGCAACAACCACCTGTGTCAGAAACCAAGCAAAGTTCCATTTGTTGAGCAAATAAGGAAAAACAGATAGAACCGGATAGGACACACCTTAACGAAATTAGAAAAGTGCACTGAAAACGAGCACTAAATCCAGATCCTCAAAGAAAATGAAGAAAGAACACGTTGCGCTGTAAATTGGAGGCCGATATCAAAAGAGCTCAAAACACAGTTGTCTTTAAATCTTTGGTGGGTGACCTATGCTGCACGATGTGTAACGGACCTCAGTAAACATGTGATGCACTTATATGTATAGAGGATCCATCTTCATTGAAGAAAATGTAAGATCCACGAGTTATCCTGCAAGTCGAATATCATAACTAATCCTTGCATCGCTCATCGGAATATTAAAGCCTTTGATTGAACGACGATTACGAGTGAAATGTTTGTGTGAATCACAAATGTTTGCTTTGAACTAACTTATTTCCCCCTATGTTTAAAGATATTTCCTGTATATTCTAGATTTATGTCATCATAATAGCTCTTATCTAACAGAAAATAAAGTAGTACCTTCGAATATGTTCAATTACGTGAATTACTAACACTGGTAAACGCGGGAGACTAAGTATGCAATATAGTGTTTTGAGTCTTTGAGTCTAGAATAGCTAACCGTATCGAAACATAAGTTAGGGTGTGATTTATGCAATTATATCCTAACTAATATTCTAATAGTTTCTCTGCCACAAAATGGCGTGCTATACAGCTAAACCGTCACTAACCTTGAAATCGCTGAATTCCTCACTATGATTCTGTCTAACAATCAACTAATGTGCAGAGACACAGTGCTTGAAAATATTCACATTTAGCGAAGACAGTGAGTAACGTTGCACGGAAAACCGTGAATTTAATTATCGATATGCACGTTTTCTAACAATACAAGAGAAACGACTGAAAATCCAATACTTCGACGCTAGTACAGACAACGACACAACTCAACCACCATCCACTTTGTTGAAACAAACCAGTACGTCTTTTTATATCGGTTACGAATATTCTTTGAGTTACTTGGAGTCAATGGTAGTAGCCAAACTGCACAATAACGCGGTTACTCGATTGTCCGTTGTACCATTTAATAATGGCCAATAATCTCGAAAAATTCAAAGTAACCCAATAGGAAGAGCTGACACCTCCTAAAAATGAATTTACTTAATATTCCTGGTAAATGGTTGAAAAATAGAACCGTTTATTCAGTTATGAAGTACTGTGTCATTTTCTGTAGTGTAAGACATCCCTCTTATTAAACATAAAATACCTCGATACTAAAGCTCCTACATTACTGTTAAAGGTTCCCATGGTAAAAAATAAAGAACAATACAGTTAAAATTGTTTATAACCCAAATCAGAACGGTTTACTGTCCTTCGTCAGGATTAGCTGAATCTGATGCTTTACTCATGAGTTTCAATTACTGCCACAATTATTCCTATCAAGATTACTGCTATTATTAATATTGCTGTTCGCTAATCTCTTGTCATGATAAACGTCTCTTGAGGACGACTGTCATGAGTTGGAGGGGTTACGAAAGCTAACTACCAGTGGGATTTGAGAATCCCGAGGTCTAACAAAGGTGTAGGCCCAATGAAATATCACTGAGCACTAGCCAAATCATCCGGCAGTTGGGTCACCGAATATCGAACAGATCATCGATCCATGTCAAAGTCAAGGACAACCGACACGCGCCAGTTAATCGTACGCAATGTATTGGCCTATGAGGTGGTGGTCACACATTCGCCTGTACCTACTTCAACTTATGTATTTCTGTAATAACATCCTTTGTGTTGTACGGTCTTCAAAGCATCCGTAGTACCTAGATACGACAGAGTGACCCACGTAAGGTGCTAATCGCGAAGTGTGACTTCGACATTAGCTGTTGGTCACACCATTCACGTCTAACCTGAGTAGGCCCTCAATCATTCGACAGAGATCATCAACGTTTATGATCCACAGAGTTCTACGTACATCGAATAGAGAAGTAGGACCTCCTTACTTTGTTCTGCCGTTTATTAAAAGGTGATCTGATTCAGGTGTATAGAATACTGAGAAATGATGTCGGATCTGATGTATCTTTCCCATTACTTCCCATTAGATCGGGACATATCAAATAGCATAACAAGCGAGTTCGAAAGCCAAGGATGAACAAATACCCGTAGCATACAGGTTTTTTCACCGGGTCACAAACCCTTGGAACCCGTCGCCTTGGGAAGTGGTGTTCGTACATTCAAGTCACTCATTCCATAGAAGAACAGACACACAAGCCTACTAGAAAAGAACTAACACAATACAGATATCTGAGATCTGTATCATCATTTGTACATTTTGTCAAAAAGTAATTCGCCATAAAGAAAGTTGACAAACATTTTGCATTCACATTAAACATACAGAAAATTCAGATAGTTTATGTTCAACAGAACAGTTCAGAAACAACATAATAATAATAACTACTTAAAAATAAAAAGAGTAATCCTTCTCAAAAGTAACAAAAAACAAGATTTATGGTGAATTAATGAAACAAATGATCATTTGATTCAGATTAATTAGAAATACTACATTTTCTTGCTGCATCGATCATCAGAATTTTCTTTACCCATTATGTTGATACAGGACGACCGGTTGGATCAATAAACAGGTGTCTACACAATGGACAAGCAGGATTTCGACTAGTTGTAAACCATTTGTACATGCAAGCATAATGAAATAGTTTACGACAGGTGTGACATCGCATTTTAGGCAAACTGAAATTTGTGTTGTGCACAATCGAGTAACAAATTGCACATTCTTCAACACCATCGAATTTTTTCCGAACATTACTTTGCCACAAATCAATACCATCTAAAATCGATCCATTCTAAATGACACAAACAACACAGAGAGGCAAAAATACTAATTCAATTCAAGAGATTTAGGTTAAATAATATATCGTTTTAATGGTGTTGATTCACACTCATGGAACTTGTTTAATAAAAGTTCGTTAAATTTGGATGTTCAATACAAATAATAACAACCAGATTTCAGAATACGAATTATGGAATGAGTGTATTTTAGATTATGTTCTATTTAATAAGTCCGACATATAGAAGTGAACATATCACTTTGTAGCGATTATATTATTTGAACGTTTTCTGTTCCACCCAAATTCTGATTATTTTACAAAACCATGTGCAGAGGGGCCTTTTCTTAAGAAATTTCACATACACGGTCCCCCTTAATTTCAAGATAATTAGGGAAACTAAGTGTAAAACTTTTCAAAAACCCATTTAAATATTTTTTCTATGTGGTTTTCAATACTGACACAAATTCGAAAACTTTGTAGTCCCACTATCGCTCGCATGTTACGAGACCACCGAATGAGATAGGCTTAATTTAGAGTTTACAGTAAACCATTTGATGCAACTGTGGACCTATATAGATAGAGTGGCTGACACATGTACTATGGATGAACATAAGTTGCGGAAAATTTGCTTAAAGGTCACTACTAAATTGCTAGTCTGAAGTGAATATTTATCCAAGTCACTTCATAGAACTTGAATTTCCCATTTCTTTCCCTACTTTCAATTTATCCACGAAAATCACTCTTTCCTAACTAGCGCTTTAGTATACAGCAGACAGTTAAGGTTATAGTGTTCGACCAAAGGCAATAAGCTTAAAGATATCTAAACCGAGCTCAAATGTAGGGTTGAGGAATGCTGCTTCTAGGCTGTAATGTCACAATCAACGCTCTGATATATTGGATTAGGAGTAAATGTTGGAACTTGTCGTATTAACACGATGTAAAGTAGTTCGAAATGTGATGTTTTATTTGTTATGCTTGCATAAGCAGTATTCTACTCACCAAATCATAGTGTTGATTAACATTTTAGACATACCTTACCTATGGAACTAACTAGTGAAAACTTATTACAATTGGAATAATTATCTATCACACCACAAAGGACTTAGAATGAAATTGAAGGAGACACTCCTAATTTCAGATGAAAGCATTAGATTACAGTCTATATTATATATTTAACACTAAATTCAGATAAATATCTATAAACGTGATTAATTTCGAATGCCAATCAGACACAATCAACAATGGTTCACTGGAAAAAAGATTACATCGAAATACACAAAATAAGAATAAACGTCTATCAACTCACATGATTATTAACAAAAACAGACATTTGTAAAAGCCATGACTGCCACTGTTGACTTCCTACACCAACACTACGCCCTTTACTAACAGTAATTGGACTTAAGGGATAGTTGTTTGGCAACTGAATAACCATTTCCATCGAATGATCATCTCCCACGTAATATGTGGCAATAATCTAAATGAATTTGTTTAATAACAACTCAATATTATTTACATAATAAAGCTGAATTGTAACGGTCGAAGCAGAATGAAATGTGTTATATTTGTGCTTGGACACATGATGAGTTTATGTTATTTCTTCAACTATTGACAAAATATCCACATAAAGCACTGTGTTGAATGTTCTAAACAGCGATAGCGTTTGTTCAAAGCAGTGAATACTTTAAAATAGTATGTTAAGTACGCATTTTCATCGCAGTCAGTAGTATGACTTACCAAGCTATACAACAGAGAAGTGCTGGGAAAAGGTAGGTACGGAAGTAGTTGGGAGGCGGTCCTGACCCCAAACCAACGACTCACATGGGCTTCAGCATCCTCAGGGAACAAGTGTTGCACGGAATTACTCTTGGATCCCGGCAACCATAAGTGTCATATCTGGACGAAGAATAATAACTGTCAGGACCTATTTATGGATTTTGCGATATATATTCTCATTGTATAATTATTAAGTAACTATGTTACATGTATATTCATTTTCTTATTATAAGCTTCCATTTGACCTATTGGCTACTACTATACGGTTTACTGCACTTAAGTTATTCCCAATTTATTAGTTACAGTCTCTCACACTCGCAGCCACTTTCGACCTGATCTTGTATAATTTCTACTTTCTATTTTATGGAATGATGCATCTGTTCGAAATACATTATTCATATACGGGAGGCTGATGTTGATCAGGTTAGTGGATCTCTCCACCTAAAGATAACCTTACAAAACTAAAATTCTGGCGTAGAACGCCTAACTGTTATGATAGTTCTCGGTTCTTCACAGCATCCAGGAATTGGAAAATGGATCAGTGGCCTTGAAACCACATTCGACAAAAATGTCTCGTGTGCAGTGAAGGTCCCAGTAGCCGCAATAAAGTGTGTGTGTTAAAGTTTTCTTCGACGTTTTAGCGCGTTCTTGGCCTATGAGGGATGAATTTCAGTCCAGAGTCTAGCTGAGGCGACCACCCTCGCATACGGGAAAACATATTTGAGACAGAAGGATGGATTAGCCTTCCACTATGAAATACTTTGTTTGGCTCAAAGTACTCTGGTGCGAGCCTTGTTAGATAAGGTTACCTTTAACGTATATCTTTAAATGTCCTTAACTAAAGTCTACGAATGAACTTCGCATCTAGATCCCGATGACGAAGTAATATAGTTAGTGAAGACTGAGTACTGTGCATCATATCTGAAAGGTTTAAAGACACAGTTTGTTCTGGAAGTTATACCGCTTTTTGGGGGCTGATTGTTGGGCGAAGATTCTTGTCTGTAATCCGGATGGGGTTTGTGACTATCAATGCGAGTATACTGTGCAACATTCTCCTGTATTGCCATATAGTTGAGACGGCGTTCCAGGGTGGGATATATGATGCTAGCAGCTGACCTTAAGGTCAGTGTGTATTATTAAGGTTAAGCTTAAAATCCCAGGTTGAGGAGATAGTTTAATCGATGGAGTCAGTATCTGGTATATCTGAAAACTACTGCGTTTGTCTGTTGATATTTCACTTTTTAGTTGTTCACTCCTTGAGCTGTCGGCAAATGTGGCAACTAAAATACTTCAGCATTTGCAGCATAAAACGATGAGTTCTATTTCGCTAGTGCTCCTAGAAAATGTATCCTAGTAACTTCATGTGGTTTACTAAATTATACAGTCAATGGAAATGAAAAATCATTATCTGTTCACTTCGTTCGATATTATTTGACCATGTGCTTCATTAGGAATCTCACGTTAAAAAGTTTATATTAAAGCGAAGGGGAAAAATGAGTAAATATTGAGGGTCCGCTTAAAAAATCTCTAAATAAAATGGTCCGAAAGTGCCAAATTACCTTGGTCATTAGTTTGAACTTTCTACCCATCCTCGATGAATAAGCTGTAACCACAAAGGGTCAAGGCTGAATGATATTTATAGAATTCCAACTGGTTGTTACATCAAGATATGGGGGTAAGTATTCGGATGCTTTGAC